CCCCAAAACCCCAAAACCCCAAAACCCCATAAAGTAGAATCAATAGCAGATAGTAAACTTGAATAATATAAATTATGCAGCATTGAAAAAGGCGGAAGATATTTCAAAATCAGTTTCAGAGGAATGTCAAAATATCTCAGCTTAGATTTTCAAATTGAGAGTTTAAATCTAATGAGTGAGACATTTTTCCTTACTTCGCGGCATACAAACAACCCATTCATTATACTTGAGAAAAAATGGGTCCAGGTACGCCCCTTGTTCTTTACTTATAAACTCAAACTATTTCCATATTAAATATTAATTATAAAGTTTAAAAAATAATCAATCTTAATCCTAAAAAGCTGCTTTCATAACATTAGCCATACTATCCATTGCACTCTTAATATGTCTATTAAGTTTTTCATCTATAGGTTTATTCTTCTATGTAGTATGCTAGACTACCTTCTCAACTTTGGTTGGGGTTAGCTTTTGCTCTATCTTCTTTTTGAGATCCTACTTTCTTTCATTCTTTATCTTTTATAAGTCTTAGCTGAGAACTTTTACTCCTACTGGTGATTTTTCAGGTCTTGGTCTAGATTTTGACTTCTTTAGGGTCTTTTTATTTTTGTTGAGATGTGTATCGACAATTGGTTTTCCAAATTAAACATTAATTGAAGCAGGTTTGAACTTCCCTGGACCAGCTTGTTTCTTGACTTATTTATACATCTGATTGATAAAAGATTCTGAAAATTTCGACTCTTCGTCTTCAAAATCATCTTGAGTTGTGCTTAAGTCACCCTTATTACTCTCACCTTTGCCCAAGTACATATCAACTCTCTCCAATAGCAATTTATTTTCTACTACTAAGTCAGCTATGTGAGCTAACTCTTTACCGTCATCTCTTTCAGGATCATAGTTATCATAAGTCTCTAGCTATTTCTTAGCTTTATTCATCTTCTCATTAATACCTTCCATTATAAGTCTATTTTCCTCCTTCTTCAGAAACATCTCGAAATCCTTTAATTCCTTATCGTTTCTTTTGAAATTTTAATCAATATGGTCAGCCTATGCTTCAATATCTTTTAATTGAAAATCTAGGCATTTTAATAGACACTTCATCGTCTTTTGTCTGTGCTCATCAGTGATAAGTAGTTCAAGTCTATCTTTTTCTAGCATTTCCTCATAATTTTCTCTATCTTTTTAAGCTTGGGTTTTAGGTGGTTTGACATCTTTGACTGTTTTGATGTCTTCTATATCAAGAAATTCCATAGTATTCTTTTTCAATTGGTTCGGCAATAGCATAGATAAGATTTACTCTTCTGGTTTAATCTCGTTTGGATAGAGAGAGTTTAAGTTCTCTACTGTTATCAACTGCGCTTTTTGTGTGCTTGAACCATCTAAGTCTGAAAGAGTCTTCCTCTATAATTCACTAATGGGTAAATCATGACCCTCAATAGGTTTACATTGTATTTTCTAGGCTAGAACAGACATCTAAATATCTGATGCTAGAGTTTTCTTAAGAATTCTGGTTTTATTATCATCAGTGCTTGTTTAAACTAACGATGGGTGGGCATTTAACTTTTTAAAATCAAAACTGCCGCTCATTTCAATGTTACTTCTTCTTAAGTCTCTTTAAATTTACCTCTCAGAAGATTGCATATCATCTTTAAGAGATTTTATGGCGTGCCCATTCTTTTAAAGCTAAATGTCAATGTAATCTCTCATCTGCTTAGATCTTTAATTGAGTTTTGAATTCAAATCATGCTAAGATCTGCGAAGTAAATCATCAGCGACATCCTTGATCTTTTGCTCAATAAGTTCATCTGAAATTAAATAAAAATATCAATGTATAACCTTGCAGATCGAAGTCAATTTGCTGTGCTCCATGGCCAGTTCTAGATAGTCTTAACTCATTTTGTCTCTTTTCTTATTATGGCTTTTAATTGTAGTAAAGCTTATGAAAATCTTCAATGAAACCTCGATTAGATAGTCTCATGGGCCCAGCTTGTCCTAGTATCTCTATTGGCCTTGATAATCCCATTCCTAGTTATTTTTCTACTGCTTTGCTAGCCATATTATCAATTTTGTCATGAATGGTCAAACTTCCTGGCTTAGATTTCTCAGGCGTGATATTCAATAATTTGGCTTCTCCAATCATAGGGATAGGCTACCTCTCATTCTATATAATTTCAAGTGTATTACTAGGCATATCTAACTTATAATTAAGATAATTATAAGGTACTTATTGAATTAGCATCAGGATTGGCAGATCTCCATTAATTAAAATGAAATGGATTAGTGTTGAGCAACTATGTCATTTTGTTATTATTTTAAATTTAGAATTAAATCATTCAATTTAACTTCTTACTACATTGAGATTTCGTTTAATTATTTTAAGCTTCTTACGTTTTATCTAACCGCATGGGGTTTTGGGGTTTTGGGGTTTTGGGG